AGTTCTGTACGAATAAATAAATCTTTAAAAAAAAAAAAAGATGTATTTCTGCAGACAGAACTGGGGTACGGGCCAGAGGTGCAGGGTGGTGAGAGGCTTCCTCAGAGACAGCGCGGGGAGCAGGGCAGGCCGACTGGCGAAGCCCACTGCTGAGGGGGCAGCGGGGGTCAGGAGAGGTCTGCGCCAGGGGTCACCTCGGGGCCGGGATCACCCTCGCCCGCCCCGAAGCGTCTGGGGCAGCCTGCAGTGCTGCGCTCTGAGCCGCTGTGCCACCAGGGCGGCCCCAGCAAACTAGTTCCGTCAGAGGCCAGGCAGTACACACGCTGGTGGCAAGGCCGCTTCTGCTCTGCCAGCAGCCACAGGCGGCCGCCGGTGTTGCGGAGAGCCCGGCGGACTGACTCCCAGAGCGGGCGGGCGGCGGCTCAGTGCCCCCCGCCTCCCCGCCCAGCCGGCCTCCCCACCTCTGCCCCGCTGCCAGAGGGCGGGCGCAGGGCTTGGCTCCATTCCTACGGAGAGCAGTCTGGGGCCACAGACAGCTGCTGCTCTGCAGAGGTCGCGGCGCGGCGAGGCGGCCCCAGGAACAGACCTACCAGCAGAGGCCGCGGCCGCGTCTGAGCCGGGGACTGGCTTGAGCGGCCAGAGTCGGCACAAGGACGCAGCGCTGCGGAGAAAACACTTTCTCCAGGAAAGTCATCACATGTAAGTGATGGAGGATTCCAAAAGTGGGGGTGCGGGGGCAAGAGACGCCCCAGGACTGCACAGGGTGATGAATTCCTGGGCCCCAGGGGGACTGCAGGGTCAGGTCTGCAGACTGGCCACGGGCAAGGGCTCCAGGCCATCCTGAAGGGGAGGCTGGATAGCGGCCGGCTGGTGACCCCGATACAGAGAAGGGGAGGGAGGGAGGCGGGAGCACGGCCCGGGGGGAGCAGCCCTGCCCGCTCTCACGCCGCACTGGTGCAGCCGACTCCGGCACCCCGTGCTCACTGCCCCCGAGGTGCTGGATTCTAGTCGCGCTCCCCCCTCACAGCCGGCCAGACCGGGCAGCGGGGTCAGGGGCTGTGCTGTGTGCGCGGCTCTCCTCCCCGCCGTGGCTCTTCAACAAGGTCTGGCCTTGTGTCCCCAATGACAATCTAGGTGTGTCCTGAGCACCCCGAGGTGGGGTGACTGGGTTGGGACAGGGAGGCTGAGGACGGAGTGGGGGAGGGCCATGGCCCTGCAGCCACCCAGTCAGGACCAGTGGGGAAGTCCACACTTGTCGACTCCCAACCCCAGCTTGATTTAATTGGGCTAAAATTCACATCACAGAATTCCCAGTGGCCAGTTCAGTGTCCAGGGGGCGGCACTGGGCCCATTCACAGCGCTGCAAACCATCTTCTCTGCCGAGACCCCAGACACGGTCATCAGCCCAAAGGAAATCCCAAACTGAGCACTGGCTCCCTCGCCGCCTGGCTCCAGCCCCTGGCAAACACCAGCCCTCCCGTCTGTGGGTGCCTGTTCTGCACACTTCAAGGCAGCAGCCTCGCCGCTGTGACCTCTGTGCCTGATTTCTTGCACCCAGGATGCACTGTCAGTGGCCCATTCCTTTTCATGACCGAGTAGTATTCCACCACGGGCCAGACCTGACAGACACTTGGGCGGCTCCGCCCTCTGGTGCTGTGAGCCACGCCACTCCGGCTGTTTCACTTCTAGGCACTCTGTGACTGGTCTCGGGCGGCTGTGTGAGACTGAGGAACTGTCAGGCCGCTTTCACATGCCCACTCTTCCCCCTACGTCCTTGCAATAGAAGCGTAGGTCATTTCAAAACTCCCTCCCTTCAGCAACAGGGATCTGAGATCTCAGAATGGGCCAGAAATGCGGGTGAGCTCAGGGGCCCAGCATGCAGGTGTTCACTGGCTCTGGGACCTGAATGTGTGGGTCCCAATTCGGCTACCTGGATGCTCAGGCCGGAATGAAGTCCCCCAGATGTCCCCACGTGTGACCTGACATGGCAACGGGGATGTGGTGAAGGAGTATGGTGGGAGATCTCCTGCGGAACAATGGCAGCACGGCCTGGGAGGAGGCCGGGGGTCTCAGCAGATGCGAGCAGGGAGGCCCGGGGAAGTGAGCGGGTGGGGCTCCGCCCACGCGTGTGGGTGGCTTCTGGAAGCTGGCAGGGGGTGGTTCTCCTGGAACCTTGGCAGGAGCCCAGCCCTGCCACCTGCTGTGGACCCAGAGCTGTAAGAAAGTAAATCTCGTTGGAAGCCACTAAGCCTTCTGCGCTCTGCCCATAGAGGAACACATGCCTGCGCGTCGACGTGAGCTGGCTGCCGAACTTCTCAAGGCCTCGGTTTTCACCGCTGCCAAACGGGAGCAGCACTTCAGGCTGCCGAGGGACCGGATCGGGGCGCACGCATGGGGGTGGGGCAGGGCTGGGTCACGCTTCTGCCGGCTAATTAAGCACCTCAAGGACAGGAGGACGTATCTAGGTATCCACCTGGTCACAGCCCGCTTATGCGCCACGGAGTTGGCCTGTCTGGACGCCTGTCTGGACTAGGAGGGGCCCGCACCAGCGGGGGTCCGGCCAGGGACCCAGTTCTGGCCCCAGAGCTCCGAGACCCCACTGCGGCCCGGCCAGAGTTATGGCGAGGGTTAGGTAAGGACGGACCCCAGGAAGCGCTGTGCCAAGCAGGCGCCCATCCAAGGAGGCCGCGAGCAGAGACCCGACCCCCTCCCTCCCCGCAGGGCACAGTCTGGCTCTCCTGGGAAAAGGGAGAACTGGCCAAAGGCGGCTGCTGACAGCAACCTGCACCTGTTGCCTTGGGCACAGGCCCCGCCCTCCCAGGGCTCCAGACACCCTGGGGCTGGTTGCAAGGCCTCAGGTGATACTGCCGGAAGCAGGAAGTGGTCTGTGCTTCCCAGATCCACCGGGCTGGGTGAGCTGGAGGCCGGGGTCTGCCCTCCTGGGAGAGGGAGGGGTGGACACAGGTCCGCGGGCTGGGAAAGGCCAGGAAGAGGGCTGGGCTGAGGGCAGAAGCAGGGTTCCGGGGTGGTGTGGAGGGGCCGGACTTCGGGAGGCTGGAGCCGGCCTGGCCCAGAGGAGCGCGGTCTGAGCTCCTCTGGGGGGCTGGTCAGCTGGCACCAGGCCCCTCCAGCCAAGATGGGGGCCGTGGAGGAGCTGGACGCCACAGTCCAGGACGTGCTCGGGAAACTGAAGAGCCACAAGCTGTTCCAGTCCGGCTGGGACACAGCTGCCTTCGTCATCTTCCTCACCTTCGTGGGTGAGTGTGGCGCCCGCCCGCCGGCCCGCGCGCCCCCGAGGGCGACCTGTGCACATGGCCGCCTCTGCCCCCAGGCGCGGTGCTGCTGCTGCTGCTGCCGGTCTTCATCCACTGCTGCTGCTGCTCCTGCCGCCGCCGCCGCGGGCCCCGAGCCCAGAAGGTGAGGCCGCAGCAGGTGAGCCCGCTGGGGCTGGTGGGGCTGGGCGCCGGAGCCCAGGACTGAAGGCCCGGCCTGCGCTCTCTTGCAGGAAGCCCGCCGGGGAGCCGACAACTTGGCCCTGGAGCCTTAGCGCCTGCCCGGGCCCCTCTGCCTTCCCCGTGCCCACGGACAGCAGCTGCGCCCGCTTTGCCGTCTGGAGATCTGGGCTTCCTCCCGGGGGCGGCCGCGGGCCCGGGGTCTGGGCGCCCTTCAAGTAACTGCTGCTGCAGGTCACTTAGCAACGGCCCAGGGGAGGGACGCTGGGCTCCCGCTCAGCCGGAAGGGGGGGCCACCACCCCGCCCAGACAGACAGACAGGCGGACAGACAGCCGGGGCCCGGGCAAGCTGCATGGTCTTTATTCGTTGGAAGCCCGGCCGGGGCTGCCGAGCACACGTCAGGGTGACGCCGCCGCTGTGGGGTGGCTTCTGTCTGAGCGTTTCTTCCTCCTCTGCCCAGCCACCACCCAGCTCTCACCCTGGGCCTGCAGCTGGGCAGGCGGCCCCGGGAGGGGGTGGACAGCAGGTCCAGCCCCGCCTAGTACAAAGGTCCCAGTGTCACCAGCAGAGCGGGAGTGTGGGCCCTGGGGCGCTTCTCCGCCCAGAGACCAGCCTGCCGCAGCCCATCCCCCGGCGGCGGTCCAGGCTCACTGCCAGCTGTGCCAGCGCGGGCAGGGCGGGGCAAAGGGGGAAATAAATAGCTGGTAGTGCCCACCCGGCTGTCTGCCAGCACTCCGAGGGGCAGGGGCAGGGGCAGGGGCAGGGGCAGGGGCAGGGCCGGCTCCGGGCGCGCCGCTCAGAAAGGCCTGTAGCTCCAGTAGCTGGAGAACACGGCGATCTGGGGGAGGAGCCACAGTGAGTGGTGCGGGGCGCCCCGCTGCACCTGTAGCACCCCAGGAAGGTGCAGCCCGCCCACCTTATCCTTCAGCTGCTGGCAGAGCTGCAGGGAGACGGTGAAGAAGACCAGGGCGTCGTTGAGCCAGGGCACCACGCACTCCACCTTGTGCACGTGGCTCACCTCCAGGCGCTGGGAGCCCCACTCACTGTGGGGAGGGGGGAGAGGGGTGAGAGGGGCGCGGGCGCTTCCGTGCCTTCGGGGTGCCCCTCCCACAGCCTACTTACAACATGGCCCCGGGGCTGTGCAGCACGGCCCCTCCAGCCGGGCGGAAGTTCTAGGCAGAGGACAGCACGCTGGTCAGTGGGCCAGGGGGCGCGGCGCGGCGGGCGGGGCTGGGGCTCACCTTGGTGGAGTTGGGCTGCAGCTGGTACACCGTGAGGCACAGCTTGTTGAGGTTGATGTAGACGTTGACCAGCAGGTCAGAGGGCAGGGCGGGGGCGAACATCCGCTAGGGGCAAGGGGGTGTGGGGCAGGCAGGTGGGGTGAGGGTCTGGCCGTCACTGCCCCCCAGAACCTGGGGGGCTTCCAGTCCCTGTCCAGGGGGTGGGCCTTCCAGACTTGCCCAGAAGCCCTTGGTATCTCCTTGCATCTCCAGGCAGGGCACCCCCAACCAGACCAGGGCATGACTGGGGCACAAAAGATGGAAGCTACACAGACACAGACCTCCCCTAGCTGGGCGCAAGCTGGACCCTTCTCGGGCCCTCTCCGGGCAGGGCTGGCACTGACCGTGAGGCCGCTGGCAGCGATCTCGGGCAGGGTGAGGGTGGCCGGGGTGGTGAGCCGGTTGCGGGCCCTGCTCAGCTGCAGCATCACGGCGTCCATCAGCTGGGGAGGGAGGCACATGCCGCTGGGTCTCCCTCACCCCGCACAGCTCTGCCCCAGGGGCCATGTCTCAGAGCCTGAGCCTGGGCACTGGGGCCTGGTAAAGATGCAGGCAGTTGGGGCCAGCTGGGCTGGGGGCAGGACCTCCAGGCGGTTCTACAGCACCAGGAGCCTGGGTGCGGGCCAGTGGGGATGAAAGACCCTGAGAGTTGGTCCCTGGGGCACCAAGGGTTGGCCGATGGTGGTGCAGCAAGTAGGGAGGGCAGAAGGGACCCTAATCCCGAGGGCTTCCTGGAGGAGGTGATGGATGTCCGTACTGAGGCAGACAGTGGGCAGCAGCCTCACTCACAGGCGGGGAGAGCAGGGCTCTGCCCGGGACAGACCCTCTGGATCCTTCCCCTCCCTGATCCACGGAGCCAAGCCCGGCGCAGGCTCCCACCGGCATCGCGGCACGGGGAGACCTGGCTCAACTTAGGGAGAGGCAGCAGCCGGGGGTGCCTGGGCTGTGCGCCAGGGCGGTCACAGGTCTGGGAGGATCTTAGGTTTCAAGATTTTTGAGGACCCAGACACCCAGCAAGGGTAAGTGAGCCCCTGAGAACACACGGCAGTCAGACGTCCAGCTGAGGCAGCAGTGGGGGAGCCTGGGCTCAGCCCCCCACACATGGGCGCAACACTAAGGGCCCCCTTCTGCGGCAGCGCTACCATCAGCAGCTGACGCCGCGTGCTTCTGGGGGTGCTCTCTAGCTGTGTTCGCACATGTAGTCGCCACTACAGCCCCCGCTGCAGAGGGAAAGGGAGGCCGGGCTAGTGGCGGGCGAGTGACTGGGCTGCAGGGCGCGCAGGGAAAGGGGAGGGTCACTGTCCGAGCGCCTAGGACGCTGGGCCGAGCCCCGGGCCCGGGGCGCTCACCTTGAGGACCTCCGCGCCAGTCCGGAACTGGTAGCCCTCGCCCCGGCTAGTGAGGAGGTAAATGGCCTGGCTCACGTGGTTCCTGGCGTCCTGGATCTGAACAGACCTCCCTGAGCGCTGGGCCGCGCAGAGGCGGGGAGCGCGGTGTGGGCCCGGCGAGCAGGTCGCCACGCCGCGCTGGTGCAGGCACGGCAGGCGCAGCCCTGACTCAAGCCGGCCCAGCCCCCGAGGCTGTTAGCGCATGTCCCCAAGGGCCAGGCCTGGCTACTGGTCAGGCCTGCGGATGCTGTGATTCACGCACGGGGAGAGGACACGTGGGGGAGGGGCCTCCCCAGATGGGGGCAGAGGACTCCAGACAGGTGGACAACATGGGCAGGGCACTGCAGTGACCAGCTGGCAGCCGGGGACAGAGGCACTGGCTGGGACGCAATCTCTGGGGAGCGGAGAGGAAGCACAAACTTTGTCCCCAAGAGCCATGGGGAGTCCCTGGAGGTTCTGGGCAGGGGGCGCCTAGTTCAGGGGGACCCGTGGTTCCTGCTGGGGTGCAAACCGGCTAGGAAACACCCCTCAGGCTGACTGGCTGAACACCCCTGGAGGACTCACCCCCTAGAGGCCTCGGCGGGCAGGGCTGGGGGTGGGGGGCTGCTACCTGCTGCAGCTTCCACTGCTTGTCCTCACGGAAGGCGAAGTGCAGCAGCTGGTTGTTCCTGGGCATCTTCAGGTTCACATCCTGGAGAGGGACAGTGGGGTGACCTGAGCCCATGAGCCAGGCACAGACATGAGGGTGGCGGTGGCTGGGCAGAAATCTCCCAGCAACCAGGCCCTTGGGGCACGAACAGGGAGGTCAGGAAGCAAACTGGGACCCAAGAGGAGTGATACAGGAGTGAGAGCCAGAAAAGGGCAGTGGCCTGGGAC